TATTTCCAGCTGGCAGTTCATTGTTGTGCAAGCTCACAATTGAGGCATGCCTGTGTAATTGCCCTAGTTTAAGGGTACTCTGTCCCCTAGGTTAGTCCCCTCCCAAGGATAGCCCCTACCCAAAACTGGTCCATGATTTCTGAAGGATCATTCAAACTTTAAAACTTCGCAAATATTCTTCCTGATAAGAGACCACAGACCATGGAGTGGTTCTTAACTATCTATACAGGATGCATAATGAGGTTTTTCATGTCCTCTGCTTCACCCTTTGCTATCAGAGGGCCAAAAAGTTCACCCTGGGATCATGTCGACGCTGCCATTCTTCGTACATGTGACTCGGATGGGGCATGAAGTTTAATTGAACATATGCACGTTTCTGCTTTTGTAAATATGTATGGCTCCTCCTATAGCGTATTAAATATGAATATTTGGTCACCCTACTCAGAATAAATTCCCGTTCCCTTTGCCCTTCCCTTGAAATGTCTGTTTCTGGCTTCTGAAAGAAGGCTATGCTACCCCAGCTGTCAGAATGACCACACTGCAGTCTGCAAGCCTTTAGGAGAAATAAAGTCCTCCTTTCCAAATTTATGAACTTCATCATTCTTAAGTTGACATGGATGTGGGTGAACATGCACGTGTGTGTGTTTTCTTTGTTTTTGTTGTTGTTGTTGTTGTTGAGATGGAGTCTCGCTCTGCCGCCCAGGCTGGAGTGCTGTGGTGCAGTCTCAGCTCACTGCAAGCTCCGCCTCCCAGGTTCACACCATTCTCCTGCCTCAGCCTCCCAAGTAGCTGGGACTACAGGCACGCGCCACCACGCCTGGCTAATTTTCTTTTGTATTTTTAGTAGAGACAGGGTTTCACCATATTGGCCAGGATGGTCTGATCTCCTGACCTCGTGATCTACCCACCTGGGCCTCCCCAAGTGCTGGGATTACAGGTGTGAGCCACTGCACCCTGCCAACGTTTGTGTGTTTTCTTCCTATAAAGTTTTTGACATTTTGACACTCTGACCTAATTTTAGGCATCAGATTTTCAGTTTTACATGTCTCTATTACAGGTAAGCATGAAATTGGGCCTGTACTCCCTTCTGTAACTTTTGCCTTCTTGATTTGAGTAAGACTGTTTGAGGGAGTTTACAATTTAATTAAAAGGCTATCTTGTGTTGGACATGAAACCTCAGGCTAGGAAAAAGTCCCTCTTACCTGTCTATCCCTTTGACATGACCATGAGTGTCTCCCTTAGACTCTTGGTCTGCAGTGGTGGAAGTGATTCCATGTGATTCCATCCATTGTGGATGCTGAAGTCCAGATTCCTCTTAGGACCAAGGCACTTATTTCCAGCTGGCAGTTCATTGTTGTGCAAGCTCACAATTGAGGCATGCCTGTGTAATTGCCCTAGTTTAAGGGTACTCTGTCCCCTAGGTTAGGCCCCTCCCAAGGATAGCCCCTACCCAAAACTGGTCCATGATTTCTGAAGGATCATTCAAACTTTAAAACTTCGCATGGCATAGGTTAATATTTTTGTTGCAGCTGCATTGAATTTCAACTCCTCCTTCCGTCCAATCCTATTGACCTCACTTCCCCACAGGGTACTCCCTAGTGCAGGCTAATTGCCATATCAGAATCTTCTTCCTGTAGTAGCAGACCTAAGATACCATCTTCTAATGGAGCACTACGCTTTCAGAAAACTCTCATTCAGATTTTTAATTACAAATGTAGTGATTTTCAAGACCTAGTGAGCTATTCCTATGTGTTTGAGTTTGCTTAACATTTTCTATTTCATCATCACTACTCCTTGAGATCACCACTATTATTATTCCCATTTTACAGATGAACAAATTGAGACAGAGGATAAATAGCTTGTCCCTAGTCACATTCTACATTCAGGCTAGCCTTTTGTTAGAGATGAGTCAAGAGACAAGAAGTGCAGCCTTCAGGCATTCTTCCCTCAAATTTCTCAAGAAGGCCAGAAGGCCACAGATGCTGCATCTGATTATGTTTAATCCACTCCAAAAAATAGGACCCCAAGTAGAGGGCCTCATTACTCATGCAGAAAACTCTTGATTGTAAATCTTGCTTCTCTGAAATATGGGTGGCTATGATGTGATGCCAGAATTTTTTTGTTAATACTTCCTGCCGTGCTGCATCATTTTCTTGGACAGAGTAGTGTAAGTCTGTCTTTCATTCTGTCCCTATCTGAATATACTAGTCAAAATTCCTTGACATTTGTATCTGATGCTATTTTTCTCATTTCACTGATGATTAAAATGTCCTGCACCCTTTCTGCCTTCGGTCTTTTTGCTTAGTTTCTTGGGAGAACAACATAGGTTTTGAAGTTAGCATTTAAAGTGTCCTATTAAAAAATAGTGTGGCTTTGTATATGTAATGTTATTTTGTGAGCATTTTCTCATGTCACTAGCTATTTTCTGAACATAAAATTTGTATTCCAATTAATTAATATCATCCTATTGATGGACACAGGGTTGTGCCTACTTCTTTTTTTTTCCATTTAATAATGATATGGTGTATTTAATTTCTACCTCCTTAAATTTTACTTAGGTTAGGTTCCTATAAATTGGATTACTGTGTCAAAAATTATCAATCCTTTGAAACTTTTGATAAATAATGCTAAATTTGTTTTCAGAGAAGCTTTTCTTTTGTCAGTTTAATTTCTACCACCAATAAACAAAAATGCCTTTGCTTAGAAAAAAGTGACAATTTGATCTATTAAATTGTTGTATAATTAAATTTCCATTTGCTATTTGATTTTTCTTATTGGTCTTTTAGAATCACTTTAAGAACACTTACCTTTATTGTGTCACTCTTGTATTCAATGTGTTTCCCACTTTGCAGTTTGCCTTGGTGTGGACTTTGATTAGAATCTCTATTTCTGTTTTGTTTTATTTGATCCAGTTTTACTTCTTATGAAGAAAGATATGTTTTGGGTTATTATAGCTTTAGAGGGTATTTTACATCTGGGAGATAATTTTCTCTTTCT